ACGTGGTGATGATAGCGGTGGTGGTTGTGACAGCAGTGGCTGCAGCGATGGCGATGATAATGGTGGCGGCGACGATGATGGTGGTGGGGATGGTGGTGGTGAGGTGACAGCAGTGGCTGCGACAATGGTGATAGGGATGGTGGTTGGTGGCGACAACAATGGTAGCTGTGGCATAATAGTGGTGGTTGTGATGGCATCATGGTGGTGATGGCAGCGGCGGCGGTAGTACTAGTGGTGGCAATGGCGCGGTGATGGTAGTTGCGGGGGTGGTGTAATGGTGGTGGTTGGTGGTGGCGGCGGCGGTGGTGACAGTAGTGGCTGCGACAATAGTAGTGGTGGTTGGTGACAGTGGTGGTAATGGTAGCGGTGGCGTCATGGTGGTGGTAGTGGTGGCGATGGTGGTGGTGACAGTGGTGTGGTGATGGCGGTGGTGGCGGTGACGACATTGGTTGCGATGGTGGTGGTGGTGGTTGTTGGCGGTAGTGGTGATGACGGTGATAATGGTGGTGGAGGTGGCGACAATGGTAGTTGTGGTGGTGGTGATGGTGGCATGATGGTAGTGATGGGTGGAGGTGGTAGTGGTGGTGGCGGTGACATCGTGGTGGTGGGGGGTAACGACGGCACTAATGGTACAACAGCGACAGCGGCGGCGATGGTGGCAACGGTCGTGTCGGGATGATAGTGGTGTGGTGGTGATGGTGGTGATGGTAGAGGTTGAGAGTGATTGAGAGATTTAAGTTTTTCTCATTTTGTGCCCGGGAACAAAAAAGCAGAAATTTTCTGATTCTTTTTTCTGTTCCCCAGCACAAAAATTAAACCGGTTCATCCCGGAAACAAAAAAAGAAACCGGTTTTATCAAACGAGTTTTCTATCTATTTCTGTTCCCGGGAACAGAAATTAAAGAAAAATTAATTCCGGGAAGGTTGTCATGCGCACCCTTAGTGCCTAGGCAATAGCTGATTTTCAAAAATACTACCTATTTTTTAAAAAATTTATTGTATAACCTTGGTATTTATTAGATTTTTAAAAATAATACTATATTGATACTAGCTGGATTTTACTAGTTGAGTCTTTTGGCACTAACTAAGTCTTTGTCTCTGACTCCGCCACTGAACACACATATAAGTTGCACTTTATTTGTTCAGTTGAGATTTCATTCGAATGGTTTCATAAATACTCCCTATATTAAAATTTATAAAAAAACAAAACAAAATCTTTCCTATTTTACGTTTTTCGAAGTATTTTTATTACATCCTTGGAGTTAAATGTATTCAATTTCTCATTAGTCCACAACCAAAATAGAAGGAAAAATAAAATAAGGGCAACGCAGATGTGTTATCAGGTGTGGTAGAGTGCATGGTAGAAATATTCTCCATAGGCTCACGTGAAAATTTGAAGTGAGACAAGGATCGAACTTCGAATGGGACCTCCAACCTTGCATTTATGGAAAATACGTAATAACAACATAAAATACCGAGGTTTATTACTCCATCCACTCGTTTATTTTTATTTATTTTTTGATACATTAGTTCGAATTGAACACACAATTTAATACAAACTACTCAAATCTCTTACCATTAGATTAATCCTAATAACTTTCATTCATTTGTTCGCTCAACTTGTGTGATGGATATCTAATAAAATTTCTCAAATCTAGGAATGAACAAAGGTAGAACAACACACGAATAAAAAAGACGAAAAAATAAGAAGACCAACCCTATGACATGGCAACAAAAGCACAAAGATTATTCAAAGCTGATATACCATGAAATGAGATTCTATTTAATTAGAAATCTGCTATGTCTTGAGGAATAAATAATAAAACACAAGAGTTAGAAAAGAATCGAGTCATCAAGTTAAAATTTCTTAATGTGATGTCCAAATCAATTATCACTGGGTTTTGGCAAGTCTTACTTAACTTGATTTGATGAGTCAGGAGAGCAATTAATGATTTTATTAAATACTTGTTAGCGTTTTTTTAGAGTGATTATGTAACACTAGAAGCGTATTTATTATTATTATTATTTGAGCGACAATTTAATCGTAAAAACATGAACAAATGAAGACAATGCAATGACGTACGAATGAAGACAGAAAATCAGGAAGCATGAAAACCAACCTGTAAGGATGTGATGGCATAGAAGCATAAAGATGATGAAAACAAGATACCATTTGACACTTTAGTGCCCAAAGACTACTTAAATTTTAATGTACCATGAGATGGGATCCTCCTTTGATAAATTTACCAATTCTCAATGAGGGATAATTAATAAAAAAACACGAGTTAAAAAGAATTAATGATCATACATCCTATCCCACAATATTCTTCTTTGGAAATATTCCAATCAGTTTATTGCTTCGCGACTAGTTCAATTGGGAACGGGTCCAGGATTAAGGCTTTAAATTCCTTCCAAATGTGGTATCGGGAGGATCGAACACATACTCTCACCTTCACCTGTTCAGCTTCCATGCGCCAACTAAGCTACCACAATTTGATCCTATCCCACAATATTCCAACCAGATTAGTTGGGTAATTGAAAAATTGCGAATATATTCAAAATGAATTGGATTAGAGATCGAGTCATTAAATTTAAATTTGCTAAATTTGGTCTCTAAACCAATTGTAGTCAAGTTTCATATGATTAACTTGAAATAATTAAATGAACGTATTTGAAAAGTCATATATAGCTTGTATTTTATGTTTGAGAAATCCCCATTACTTGTTCATATGCTGGTATGCTTTTGAGTTTAACACGTATCCAAATTTTTTTAAACGGTTTGATTGTTTTTAATTTTAAAATCAAAGGTTATAAAAAAAAAAAAAAAAAATTACTTGACACTCATATGTGCTTGAGAAGTTTTATGTGGTCTAATTAGAATAATATTATAGAAGAGTATATTACAGATATTCAGAAGTTGTACAAAGTCTAGTTAGAATATATCAAGATTTAAGGGTAGTTATTAAATAAGTCTAAGTGGTTGAAAGATAATAGAAACATGTAGAAAATAAAAGAATTCTGAATAATATATACTGTATATTGATTAATATGAGTTTTTCACAGTGTACATTGCTGTATGTTGAACTACATTATATACTGATAGTAATTAACTGATCTAACTAACAGAATAACTAACTCCTATAATGGACTGGGCTTCGATGGCCCAATAGCCCAATATATCCTTTCAGTGGTAAAATCCTCATTATGGATATAGAAAAAGGTATAGTGTACAAAAAAAAGGGTATAGTTTATGGATAATAGAGAAGGCAAGGCCCAAAAGGCCGAAACAAAGAGACCGTACATAAATTAAACGAGCCACAGATAGCACCAGTAATCTATGTTATAAGTGGAAGAGAATCCCATATTTTGACACCTGTATCTTGCTCAAGGCTTAAGTTGGTTAAACGTTGCTTCTCTGTAGACATGTGAGAGTTCCACACTTCCACTTGCCATCGACATAAATTTTCTATTTTATTTTTTAAAGATAGATTGTTTTACCTACTATTTTTTTTGTCTATTTTTGTATATCACTTTGAAACATTCTTAGATCAGAATCTTAACAAACATTTATCTTTTTCTCTCTTTTAAGATTCTGATTTAACGATATTATAGAATGATAGGCAAAGATAAGCAGAAAAAATAGTAGGTAGAATAATCTATCCCTATTTTTTAAGTATAAAAACAAGGGAGCAATTAATTATTTTTTTCCTTATTTGATGAGTTTCCATTGATTCGAGAGTCTTTATACTGAGAGAAGGATGAAAATTTAATTTCACAACATTTTTAATATAACCCATCTTAAAAATAATTACCTTATAGTTGAAAATTACTTAAATCTAAATTTCTTAAACTCAAGCGGTAGACATTAGCAACAATTCTCAATACCCGTCGGCAATCTTTATTACTCATGTAAGAACTTTTTTTTATAAAACACATCTTTAGTTATTAGAAAATTTTGTACGAATAATATATTATTTACTATTAAATAAAATTATTCCTACAAAATAAAAAGAAAAGAAATAAACAAAAAAATTTAGAAGAATATTATATTTACAAACTTCTTGTTTACAAACTACACTATACACTTTTAAATAGAGTATTACCGATCAGACATAATGTAACTTATAAACTTGTAAAAAAAAATTGTCAATATAAACGTACTCTCTTTTCTTAACGCTATATATGATTAACTTGGTTCCTCTCTAGACTTGTAGCCCTGCAAAGTACCTGCAATACCGAGTTAAAAGTATAGTTTTTAATGGTCCCATCACCTAAAACTACGCTTAAATCTAAAAGCACCAATTAGCTTTACATAAATTTGCAGTTTAATATAATATATACGATTTAAACGAAACTTTAAGAAAATAAAGTGTAATTTAAATACCCGTTGTTGATAGTTTTGAATGAGGGAAATCAGAATCTGAATATATAAAATAAGTAAATATTATAATATAAACCTTTGTCCTCTTTTTTATTGGTATAAGAATTTCATCTACGGCAATGAAAGAAGAATAAACTTGCGTTGAAGTCAATATAGTACGAATTAAAAACTATATATAAGTCATAACTTCTGTTCTATCCATGTTTAAAAATATGCTCTGCACTATAAAATAAATGAAGCAGTATTAAAAACCCAAACTAGATAATGAGCTTGCAAAGCGAAAGCTTAAAGCAAACCAATATAAAATTTAACTAGAGGAGAAACGAGAAAGAAAATTTGAATCCAATATAAAATTACCTTGATTCATTCATTAATTAAAGTAAGACACAACTGAATACAACAGCTCTCATATGAACATTTGATGAACTTCAATTAGAAAACATTCAAATTACCAAAGGAAAAAAACACCAACAATATTACAGTTGCCAATATGTTCAAGATCTAGTCAACTTTATGACAAAGACCCTGTAATGAATCAACCACTTAAAAATCTCTCATAAAACATTTATTCAGTTGCTGATGTGCCTCATATTATTCCAATATATGATAATATATATTGATTAGTTCACAACCCTGCAATTCTTTCTGATTTCACCATTAGTCCCAGTGAGAGGACTAATACTACTCAACTTCACCATAGAAGCAGCAAAGTCTCTGAAGAAAGCAACACTATTGGTACTATAAGTCCTAACCAAAGTATCTTGAGACCCACCATTGAAAAGAACTTGGTCTGAGTGAAGAAGGCCACGTTTAGCCACAAGGTCTCTGTAGTAATTGTTGTCAAAACGAGTTGGAGTGAGTGAATCAAGAGGTGCCAAATTGGTGTCCCCACCAGAGGGGGGGCAATTGCCCTTTCTTGAGGTGGCAAAGTTGGTGTCAATGTTGGTCTCATTGTATATGCGAGTTCTGAAAAACTGGCACTCTGTTTGACCTATGGTGTGGGCACCAGAGAGCACTGTGACGTCACGTGCACTTAAACCTTTGGCGGCGAACATGGAGGTGAGGGTGGAAAGGTCTGAGAATGGTGAAGGGATTTGGTTGTTGGCTGCAGTTTGGCTTGCAGTTCTTGCATCTCTTCTGCCAAGAGGTACTGCATATGAGGGTCCTCCAAGCTAGAAAATTAAATAATGATGAATTATTAGAGACAAGAAGTGATAAATGAAAATTAAAGTGGAAAACACCATAAGACATAGTTTATATATGTGTACGAAGGGTAAGGCGCGTCTAATCCGATTTCGGGTTTAAATTTCTTTCTTGGTTCTATAAGAGTTATATGGTAGGAAAAGTGATTATGTCATGTTATTGAGATTCGTTTTCCGTGCTTTAGTTTTTTTTTTTTTTTTTTGCTTCAAAAAATGTGACCATATGTGTAAGAAACTTTACTATGTCATGTTAAAGTATAAACGAAAATCCTTCTTTCTCTTAGGAGTTGCAATTTTCAAGAATCGAATTCACTGTCGCTTTTGGAGATAAAATCCTAGAATTCAGTTGGGTTGCAACTGTATTTTTCTGGTTTTTTTAAAAGAAAATAATGAGTGGTTTTCTTGAGGAAGTGACAGGGTTGTCTGAAGACTTGAATTGCATGAACCATAATTTTTCTCTTGATTATCTTGTGTCATAGAATTATTTTATGCAAGATATATTATATTGGGAGGACCCCACTAAATTATAAAAAGTTGACATGATGATCATTACATGTGAGAAAGCCGAGAGTGTGGAACATGGTTTGAAAACAAGCCCATGTCAAAAGGAAATGTTGGGATAAAAACAAACAGCAAGTTAGCTACTTTGTGAAAATGACTGGAGGTTTGAATGAAATTGCAAGATTTCAGTGCATTCTCAACAGGAGCAAGAAAAAGAACCTCTCTTATAAAGAAATGACTTTTTTCACAATTTTTTTTCTTATATAATTCTTCAATTACCTTTTTACACATATTATTGGTACTTATATTGATCCCAAGACACGTAACATCCTGTACTAAAAAAAAAATTAAACTGATAATTTAAAAAATTATATAATTTATATTAAAAATTGATGTACAAATATTAAAGTGACTTTACTTAGACAATGTTTGGCCTATCTCCTTTTCAGACCTGAAATCAACTTTGTCAATCAGAGAAAATTGACCCCATTTTTATGTCTCTTCAGATCCCATAATTAAGGTGGAAAAAAAATTAGACTGGACATGTACTGTGCAGTATAACATGCATAACATCATAATCGATTAGGTAAAGAAGACACTGCCAAATAAAAAAGAAATGGCTCTCACCAGAGCTATTCCATCTCTTGCTGCGAGTGCTAGTATATCTGCACAAGACACTGTATCTTTGCAAGCAGCTTCGACATTGGTTTTAATGGTATCAATCACTTCGAAACCCCTTGCTGAATTTTGGTTAGGTGCTGCATTTTTCTCACCTACAAAGGTGGCACTGTCATCCAACAACACTGACCCATCACAGCCCTGCAAATTAGAAAAGAAATAAAACTGAGATGTTAATGTTGTCTTATAACTAAAGTATAGCCCGTGACCTTTAATTTTAAAAAAGAAATGATACTTTCGTACTACTTATTAGTTATTACTTTGTTTCTTTTGTAAGATTTACATCAATGCAATTCTTTATATCTAGATTCAGTCCAATTCTTACAAAAATAATTCATCATGTGTGCAAGTTCTCTACAAGGAATAATATGTACACATACTTCCATTTCCATGACATATTCAAGTAATTTAAGCACTCTATATATATATATGTGTGTATTTTTTTGGCAACTTCGTAAGTGATAAAACTTAAGGCTAAAAGCTATACAAATTCTTTTATTTAATCAACATATATATAGATTATGCAATGATGCAAAAGGTTGCGGATTCGAATCGGAAAAACATTGTCCTTGAAAACATATAAAGCTAAGACTGCGTATAAGGATTGTCTCAACATTATACTTGCTAGTCGGAATTTAATGGGATGTGATTATATATAGATTATAGAAGTAACAAAGAGATTATGATCTTACATTTACGAAGCAGTCATGGAAGAACAAGCGAAGTATAGAGGCCCCCATACGGGCTTCTTTATTGAGAGCTTGCCTCATTGCATTGCGCACAATGGTTTGAAGGTTAGGACAAGTTTTGCCATAGAAATTGGTAGAAAGTTGTGCATTGGTAGAACAGAATAAGAGAGAAAGAATGGATAGTGTAACAAAGAAATGGGTAAGGGGGGCCATCTGTTTCAGCCACAAATAAGGAAGCCCTTTGTGTATTGAAAGGGTGTATGTGTGAGTTGTGAAGAAGCCTAAGGTAGAGGCGTGCGATATATAGAGGAATTTGAAGTTGTAGGGCAGGGTGCCAGTGCATGCAGACAAAGAAAGGCAGGGATCGAATCAAAACGAGAAATGTCAAAAATAATGTGACTCAATTTTCAAACTTGTCTGCTCCATACGCGCTTTAGTATTTTTTAAAGTTTTTGGGTGCAACTTGGAGAGAAAATCTGAGAGATAGAGGTGGCTCACTATTGTAGTAGGTAACTTGCTCCCAATAATAAACAAGGAAAAAGATCCATGATTGAAAATTATGAAACTCAAACAAAGGGAGAAAAAGCTTTAAAATATGAACTAGTCAATGTTTTAAGTGGAAAAACAGATTTCACAGTGCCAGATTCCTTATTGAGTTGAACTAGAAAAATCGGTTTAGTCTCTTAATTATATGTGCATAGACTAATATATTCGATTAGTTTAACGATTTTTCAATTTAATCTTGTTTATTTCCTTGGATTTTGAAGAATATCGGTGACGGTGGTCATATGATTTCCTTGTTTCGTGGCTTGAGGTGATATTTTGAATGTTTAAACGTTATAATAAAAATTACATAATATATATACTTTTTCTACATATGATTTGCGCCTTTATTGCTTGTTCAACTTTTATCTTTATATATTTCTCTTAATGAGAGGAGATGATTGCTGTTACTTTACACGTCAGCACTATTCATAATTTCCTATATATATTCCACAGAACGTAAATAACGTTGCAAAAAGGAACTCCAATGTATATCCCACTCAAAAAAAATGCTTCTAATAGTAACCATACCCTTCTAGGAGAACCCAAACAGTGATCAGTTAGACCAGCTTTTTACTTGGTGCATGCACGTAAAGCAGCTCTGAATCTAACTTAACTAGAGTTGATTTAGTCTAACACATCTTTGTCATAAACATTTAAAAAAGGGGGAAAAAAGAAAAGAAAAAGAGTTGGTTGCGTACACATTTCTTGCACATCATTCTCGTGAAAAATAATTTTGAAAACTTTTAATTTATATGTTGAGTTTATTGTTTCTTATATTTCTATTTTTTTTTTTTTCTCTCCTCTCCTCATATGATGAATCTTATATACTTTTATGTGTGTAAGAGATAAATTTATCTCTTACAACTTAAAAAAATAATAAGCCGTTGTATGATTTGACAGAGAAATCTGTAGTCCATATTTTAGTGGTCGATCAGTATAGAGATGCGTCTTGGATAAGGATAGGTTATGAATAATGATGGTAACCCACGTTACATGCATCCAGCGGACATATTATATGTCATTTCATATAACAACAAATTTTTCTTTATTCAAACCTGCCTCTCACATGTTATATAAGCTCTCTGAAGATATGGTTAAGAAATAAAATATCATAATATTATTTTTTTGCTCAGCTTTTTATAAAATCAACTAAATTTAAGGAAGATATATAACTGAATCAATATACATGACTTTTAACATAAAGAGATATTTTATAATGATACAAAATTTCTAAAGCCATTATTAGTTATTTATTATTTCTATACTTTTACTCATTTTGTTTTCGTATTTTTTTTTTGGTATAGCGTTGAGCTAGTTATATATTAATAGATTGTCCAGGTTCTTGTATACTCAAATCAAAAATATTTTAATTACAGCTGGGTTGTATCCCTAAAACAAAAAACTAATGAATTGATAGTTTTTTATATAGAAAATTGATTTTTTGTGCTTTTATTTACTGGAAGTGTTTAAGTACAGTCTACTTAGTACTCAGATTATCATTTTACAGACTGATATTATTCGGAAAAAGGTGACATGTTAACGAACTTAAAATGATTTAAATTTCTTTACGACGCCACGATAATGAGGTTTGGGACCACTTAAACATGGGTCATGGTCAAATGTGGCGATGCAATACATGAAACATGGACTCACTCACGTACTAGAGTTAGAATTGGGGGTTAAATATTTAAGACTCTTGTGTACATTTTGTTAATCATATTAGTATATTTAACCGACCACGTTCAAATTATTACCAAGGTGTAATAGTCTCCTTCAGTTTTTTTCCTGCCATGTCTGTATTTGGTGATGTACTGATGTTGGCATGAACTATAACAGAAGAAATGCTGGAGATATTACAGAGATAGATATTCTGTTTCTTTATTTTCCCCTGATTCTTTCTACCGTAGTTATTAATTTCCTGATTTGGTTTTCCACACGCATTGTGTAAAAATAGCTGCTTGTGTTCAGAGTTTAATAGAATGAACTATAATAGAAGAGATGTCGGTTGTAGCATTTCAACAGTTAACTAATAATATCATCCTCCAAGGGAAAACTATGCCCCGGCCAGAAAGGACAGAGAAAGAATGGAACAAGTAATGGGTGGGGCTAGAAAATTGACCAATCCTTTAAAGACATGTTTAAATGGATTTTGAAAAAAAAAAATAATTTTTTACGAGTTATTTTTTTTAAAAGTTAAAGTTATTTTGTATTTGGATATAATATTTGAAAAGTATTTTTTGGGTAAAAATATCATTTGGATATTAAAACAAAAAAAGTACTTAATAAATATAAAATGACTCTTATGCCCGTTTCTTCTTAATCAGTTTCCACCGCCCAACAACAATAGTAGCGAACTGGGCGAACGACTACGATGGATCTACTTCACCAATACTCAGATGTTACGCCCGTTTGCATTAAAGAATAATCACACCCTACAGAAACTCTTTCTCTCCCCACAATGGATCTACTTCACCAATACTCAGACGGCTAAAACGACGACGATCCAAACTCTCAAATCCAAAACCACTCTTCTCTTCCCCTTTCTTCTTCGCATACTCTTCCGCATGCTTCTTCTGTTCCTCCATCAAACTTTAAAATCCACCGTAGTAATATGAGTTTTTGGCTTCTGAGTGAGAATTTGGGTTTGTACTTAAGAGAGTGGGGGTAAAATATGTCTAACAATTTTGTTGGATGGACTTTGGCTTATGCTATTCCAAGAAACCAAAAAATTTAGCTTTTTGAAAAAGTAAAATTTTAACTTTTTTTTTTTGGCTTTAACTTTTTTTTTTTAAAGCCACCATCCAAACATCACAAAAAATTGAGAAGTCCTTTTTCTTTTTTAAAAAGCTGCCTTTTGACTTGGAAAAGGCCCATCCAAACACCACGTGTTGTGAATTGCATTCTTTTCGAGAGTGGATCTTCTCTAACATGACCATGTGATAAGAAAGGAGAGAAAAAAATATATAAGAAAGGAGAGTTAATGATAATAAGAAAAGAGAGAAAAAAATATATAAGGATAAAAAATTACACAATTATCGTGGTTGAAATAATTATTAATAGTTAAGATTCACCCCACATGACATGAGAGGATCAATTTCCATTCTTTTCTCATTTATTCTTTTTCTTCAGTTCCCTTCCCTTCAAGTAGGGTTGGGCATGGATAGACTCGAACAAGTTTTTTTTTGAACTGAACAAAATTAGTTTTATTTTTTTCCAGAACTGGTTCATGATTAAAAATCAATTTATGATTTATAGCTGGTTCCAAATCAGTTCGGGTACGCAAACTAGTTTTCAACGGGTTCGAACCAGTTCTGAACGGATTTCTAAACCGGTCTCAAACCAATTTGAGTTAAAACAAATTAGTTCGATTCTTTTGGTTTTCGATTCTCAAAACTAATTAAGAAAAATGCAATTCGGTTCGGTTTACTTCAATTCGAAAATTTTGAACAGCCCTACATTCAAGGATATAATCATTGAATATGGAGAACCATAATGATTAATAAAGCACCAAGCGACCAACTATTCATCTTATCTTATGTGAGACTCATGGAGATTCTTAAGCAGAACCTTCAATCACAAACTAAAAGAATATAAACAAGTCTAATCTTTCACATCAACTTGAACCACTAGCATTAAAACCATCATTTTCCCCCCAGGAGGTTATCATATGGTTTAAGATTTCAAAGAAACGGCAGACTAGTAAGGCATACAAATCTAAGTTTGGTAAGAATGTATGTATATCCTTAATTTAGATGTTGATAATATATCATTACATATTTGCATTAACTGAATGTTGAACCGGAGACAACTTAGGGGAATGGAAACTAGAGCAACTACCTACCTTTGAGGTGGACCTGTGAGTTTTCACCAGTGGAACCAATGACTGCACGACATCTGCCATGAGAGGCCGATAATCTGCCTCTGGTTGCACACACATTACAGCAATTGCCGCTACCTGGATAACCTCTTTCATAGAGTACTGTCCCTCCAATGCAGGATCCATAATCTCTACAACCTTTTCTCTATCAGTCAAAAGGGGCAAAGCCTAAACAAAAATAGAACAAGCAAGTTTGTTAGAAAGAGCAAGTGCTGAAATACAAATGTTACTAAAGTGCAATTCTTCTTTTCATAAATGAAAATATTGCAGTACCAACTGATTAAATAACTTTCACTGGGTACTACAGTATCAAGATAGAACTTGATGGGAGAAAAAAATTAACAAACGCACCCAAGAAACAAGAACGCCTTCCCCTGGAGGTCTCTTCATATCAACGGGCACTCGGCCAGTGAGCAGCTCCAGAAGCACAACACCATAACTGTACACATCTGATTTTGTTGTCAGGTGTCCTGTTAGTGCATATCTGCACAATCAAACATTCCAAAACAAAAAAGCTTTTGAGTTTTACATGAGATGAAATTACTCAAAGAACGACTTGTGTAATAAAAATGAAGATTACACTAACAGAATAAACAAATAGATGTACAAGCAAATTATGAGTTATGATTTGTACTCAGGGGCAACATATCCCTGGGTGCCTAAAACTCGTGTTGAAACATGTCCACCAGCTCCATCAGGTCCAATCTTCGCCAATCCAAAATCAGAAACTTTAGCATGAAACTTTTTATCCAAGAGGATGTTGCTGCTCTTAAAATCTCTGTGAATCACTGGGGGACTGACATGTTCATGAAGATATTCCAAACCCTTAGCAGCTTCGAGTGCTATTCTTAATCTAGTTTCCCAATCCAGCTTCATGGGCGTAACATTAGAATCTACAAGAAAACCAACTCATCAAGATCAAATCCAACATGCAAAATAACATGAAATATCGGACAAAAAATATCTACCATGGGTGCAGATGCAACAACTGTGCATTTTATACCAACTAGCTTGCTGACTTAAAAATTTACAAGAAAATGGGAGAAGACAGAACAGGATATCCATGATCTTGTAATGTCTGTAATAAGAGACAATGACACAAAATGCTTTTATAAACTCCAGAATTACAGAATAAGAAACAATTATAACTTTATTACAAATCATATACGATGAATACAATGGACAGCATATCTCTATCATCAAATATATTCCCAACAGATTTGAAAAGTGTTACACCTTCAAACTAAAAAAAGTTCTACTTCTATTTTTCCTTACTGAGCACTTGGGGTGAGCAAACAGATAAGGAATAGCAAAAATAGAGATCGTTATATTAAAATTCCTGAGACATATGACATATCTCTCTCATCATGAGGATCTGAGCTATTGATTATCATTAAAAACCAAACCAAACCACTCCCCATTAAACCCCAACTAGCGAGGGTGGGGTGAGGGTAATTCTCATATGCAGTCTTACCTTTGCATAATTGCAAAAAGACTATTTCTTGATTTGAATTCACAACCTTTCAGTCACAATGCAACAGCTTTACCACTACTCCAAGCTAGCCCTCTTTGATTATCATTTTAGAAAGAAAAAACCCTACCCAGATCACTATGTACTGTAGTCTCATCCATTCACGACACTTCATATTAGAAAAGAAAAAGGTTATCTAATAAACATTTATTTCATTACTTACTGCTGATAGGATAAAGATGTTCCTGCAGGCCACCATTTGCCATAAACTCATACACCAGCAGTTTATGATTACTATCAGAGCAGTACCCAAGCAATGCCAGCAAATATGGAGAATGCAACCGAGTTAGCAATTCAACCTACAGTGAGATGTAAGCAACTAATTCAACTTAATTCCAAAAATGAATCGCTTTCCCAAGCCATCGATTGCTATCTAATTCATTGGTTCATTGCCAAAAAAGAAAATATGACTTCATAATCTCCAAATGTCACTTTTTTTTATTACAAGTGAAATCAAGTGCATTAAGAATAATATATTCCCTTTCCAACAAATTCTAGAAAAGAAACTAGGCTGACCAAAATGTTCAAAGAGTAAACAAACCTCTACTTTAAATTCTTCTTCTCCTTGCTTTCCTGCTTGATCCATGAATTTAATTGCAACTTTCCGTCCATCATTGAGCACTCCCCGGTAAACAAGTCCAAATCCACCATGACCAATCACATTTGACTTGCTGAAGCCCCCCGTTGCAGAATGTAGCTGCTTGAAAGTGAACACCCGAAGTCCATCCTCAGCAACAATTTGCAGGTTTGCAAAGTCACTTTTCTCGTTAACGTTAGCGTCTTCAACTAACACAAAACGAAAGCACAATCTATCAGTAAGTGGACCATCAATGATCACATGTAAATACCTAAACAGTTGCAAAAACATAAATCAATTAAACAAATGTCCCGGTGTCTTTCCTCAACTAAACGTTCCATTTTACAGTGAAACACTGAAACAACACGAAACTTAATTAAAATCCAACCCCACAAATAAAAAATCATTTTTTTACACAAAACAACACATTTTTATCAGAATTTCCACTAGCACCAAATCCATGAGAGAAAAAAATGTAGAATAAACAAAAGGCCTCCATGCAAAACAAAATAGAATACAACACAAGATACACTACCCCATCATCAATGGCGATAAATTTCTATACCCCTTTAATCAAACTTTCTTTCAGAGAGTTAAAAACCGAGCCTTTCACTCCCCATTTTCTCAGATTTTCTTGGCAACTAAACACACACACACAAAAACACACCTTTTTGGCTTTTGCGACGCTTGGAGACCTTGTTGCGGATGTAGCAGTAGTAAGCAAATGCAACAAACAAAGCAAACACGGCGAGGGAAGCAATCAACACCATAGCCACAAGTGCAATCCTGGCCTTCCTTCTGTAACCTTCATCCTCATCCATTTCAATTTTTTTTTTCGAGAAGCAAAAACCCTAACCCTAAAAATGGTTAAAGCATTATGCCAGAACCGTGAAGAAAAAAGAGCGAAAGAGAGAAACAGTGATATTTGCAGCTTCGAAGTTCGAAGACACACACTCTCTGACTCACTCTCCCTCCGTCAGCTTTTGTTTTGTGGCGCGTAGAATAATGATGCTAACACTTTTCTTTGCAATTCAGCCCTCAAATTTATTGAAATTTTCTATCCTATATACTTTTTTTACAGTATTTATGTTCCTTCCCCTACATTCTTGTATTAATACCAACGGTTAGTTTGATGTAAGAAATAAGAATATAAACGGTGGTGAAAAAATTATGAATTAATTTTTAGAATTTAATATTTTTATTTTACTTTAGATTTTTTTTTTTTCGTCACACTTATATAAAAGTAGATGATTTTCACAAATTTTTTCTTTCTCTTCTCTTTATAATAAAACTCATTCAATTTTACCTGAGTGTGTTAGAAAATAATTTTCTACAACAAAAATAAAAATAATTTTCCTATTTCTATTAATAAAATATGTCTACGGATTTCTCATTAAAGCCTTTATTCTTATACCAAAATGACCCATTATATTATTAAGATAAAAAATAATAGTGTAACATTTTTTAAATTTATATGTTAATTTTTTAAAATATGACAATTTATACTATATAATAACTTTGGATTGAAATTATTAAGATATTATATATATATATATATATATATATATATGAGAAAAGTGTATATCATTTTTGATCTGGACAAAAATTATACAAATACAAGGTTCAACCCAAAGGTCTTCACCATTAAACAAAATCTTTAGTCAAAGAAGACTGCAAACTTCATCTCTATCACCAAGGCTATCACAGCAAAAACACCTCTATAATAGCAAACTCATGACAGTCATCAAGCTGCACAATATTAATGGCCTTATCTCATCAAGCTCCTCAAACATTAAACATGGCAGCTCTATTACTTTGTCTCCAAGACAAAGCAAACCTGATCACTAAGTAACATCTCTCAAGCTGCTCATCACTTTACAATAAATACATATGTTCAACACTAAGGTACATCATCTTCTCCTGCATAATAAAACCTGCTTGAACCATAACTGACTTGAACGTAGGAATGTTTTGCAGGTACACCCCTCATCTTGTTTCATAGAAGACCCATGGGATACAGCGGCCCAACTGCAAGATGCTCTGATCCAAGACAGTTTCAGGTTGTGCAGAGGAAGATAACATGATCGGCCCAGTTGTAAAAACTTGTTCCGATCAATTTTAAAGGATGTAAAATTATGTCATTTTAAGTGAGAAAAATATATAGATAAAGGGGGAGAGTGGACAAAAAAAATAAAGATGTGAGTCTCACCTCTTTATGAGAGTAAAATGACACAAATTGTATCATTTAAAAGGATAAATATTTTTTCATATATATAAATATTATTTTCTAAAGTATTTTTTGATATAGTATATATAAGAGATTAATCTCTTAAATACATTTAGAAGCTGAATGATATTTGTCCTATACACGTGAATTTTGGAGCGAATTTAACGTAGGTCTATATCTTCAATATAATAGGAATAGGTATTTTTTTATTAAAAGCGAAAAAAATAAATTTCACTGACATTAATCATAAACGAGTCAGTCGAATAAATAAAGTTAAATGATTTTTTATTTTATTTTTAGTAAGTGATGTAGTAAATTTTTAGTATTATCGAAACATTCAAGATATTTTTCTAACATAGGTACTTAAGGGTTTGACTTCTTTTTACTTAGACCAATACATATTGGCGTACTAAAATTTATGTTCAGTAATTACCAAAAGAATTAAAATTAAAATTTTATGTCTGTCTTAAAATTTAATATGTTATATTATATTTTTAACTGCAAACAAATTGCTTATGCAACTTGTGCCTAATGATAAAAATTAGGCTAGTTGATTTAGTCCACATATGCTTTTCAAACAAACAATTAATTGAAATTGCCTCATTTAGAATTTTAATGCAATTTTGGGAGTTGATACTTGATAATATAAAATTCAATCGAGGAATATAAATATTATCTTTAATTTGATTTTTTGTTGCTGCTATGAGCCTGTGACTACTATGACATTTCTTTCATATATATATATATATATGGGCAATATTACTCTTATGCAATAGGAATTTTTTTTTATCTTATGTCCATACATCGATATTTGTGTCAATTATTTTTTATTTTTTTTATTTTTCTTTCTATTGGACCCCACTTTAAATTGAGTGTGTAGGAGATAACAAAATTTTTATGTGACATGAGACTACAATTACCCTATATATATATATATATATATATATATATATATATATATATATATATATATATTTGTAATTAACCTTGTTGTACTCACCGATATATTCATCTCCGGTTTTTAACAAATATTTAAATGATTGTATATAATTGAATCACTATTCCATATGTTAACGATTTTTTTTTCTTTTTACATGTATTATTCCTTTAGCAAGTTTCAACTAGGTTAAGAAAATGACTACAAATGCTTTCTATTTTCTACAGCTTTATATTCACCCAGTATCTTGATTTTGACTTACTAAGTTAGCAAAACATTAATACATTTATCAACTCATTACTTGTTTAATAAAAATAATGATTTCTTACTAATTTATTGACTTAATGCACTAAAAAAAATATTAAATTCATACAAGAGTTCCTCATATTTGTTTGATGTATGTGAAATAATAATTATTTGCTAGAAGTAGTTGAACATCCATACAAACAAATTTGCCAAAATTATTTAGGCACACGGTGCTTCAGATCTAAAAAAACAGTTTGGCCCCTTTCAGGTTTTTGCAAACAATGACCTCCAATCTTACATAATATGATTGAAACTTTGAAAAGAGAAAAAAGAGAAACTCAAGGGACTGGGGAATGCAAAGAAATATTGAGGTCAGCACGTTTGTCAGGCCTGATTGGATAGGGATAGCAGAGAGTAATATTAATAGTTTAATACTATTCCTGAATCCTAATATGACAAAACTTACCCATTGCTTTGTGTCTCTGTCTCACTGTGTAAACATGACCCACATTAAGACCCTTCAAAAGCAAACAAGAGAATAGTGTGATATACTGATATGCCTCTCCTTCCTTATTTCTAAAAAATAAAATGCACACCCCTCATTTGAACTTTGAAGACTACTTTATTTTAAACTGAATTATTTATAGGTTCATATTTTCTTATATTGTAGGATAATAGAAGAGAAAAAAAGTAGAGATAAGTTAAATGTGAGTCTCACATTTTATATTAAAAAAAAAAAAAAAAATTAATTGGCACGGAAAACGAATTTGTGTAGGAAAAAGTTCTACTCTTATGTAGAAGGAGAATATGATTTCCCTTATTTATATATGTGTATGCATTCTATAACAGTTTCAACCAAAGATATTTTAGTTAATGATTTGTCAAAACAGCAGAAACCGTTCATAGGCTTCGTTTACTCGTTGACGTATTTGTTAGTGTTCTTTTGATGAATTCAGCATCAAATTATGCAATTACTCTACCTATCTTTATCATACTCCAAATATGAGAATTTGGCCATTTTTGTCTGAATAAATGACCTTATGATATACTTCAACGGTAACGAAATCCATTTCTATAATATAAACAAATTAAAGCACGCAATCCTAACTTATAATAGAGAAAAAGAATCAAAATAAAACACTACAACGCTCCAACACTCTTCCTTGTTATTTTTTTTCTCCCACTTCTACCAAATAAAAACAGCATTATTACCACATAAGAGCTATGTCATACACCTCCGTTAATACTTAAAATAGTTACAACTATTTCACCAAAAAAAAAAAAAATTACTCACAACTAAAATATATATATATATATATATATATATATATATAGAGAGAGAGAGAGAGAGAGAGAGAGAGAGAGAGAGAGAGAGAGACTTCAGACAAAAAAGAGAGTAAAGAACAACATTAAAAAATAAAATAAAACTAGTCAATAAAAATATTTTTTTGTCAAATTTGATAAAAACAAAAAAAAAAAAAAAAATATTTTATAAGTCAAAGGTATTTTACATTTCAGTTTATACTCGAGAACAAAATATATATATATATTCATTTCAATCTTGCTAATCTTCAGACAATTGAGAAAAATAATTTTATTCTATTCCTTCCTTCCCTTGGCACGTATAAGATAGAAATAAAAAATGGTACTCGATCCAAATGAACGAAAACATATTCTGAATCTTCACTTACGAAGACCGCATCGCTGGTCGAAGGTAAATATATGCTGAAAATCCATCTTTATTTATGAAAATACATCATAATGTTTGAACAGGTGAAAGGCTCAGGTTATCACACCCATTTGTCTCCCTTGCATACACAATCAGCGAGCAAACACAATCAATCAGCCTTGGATAGTGAAATAAGAACCTAATTACGTACACAGCCGTTAGATTTGCTTCCTCATTTCTTGCCACGCAGTTTGGCACCAAGGGCTCTCTCCAACTTGCCAATTATCTGCTGGTTTGGAATAGCCTTCCCTGACTCGTACTCCTGGATCACTTGAGGTTTCTCATTGATAATCTGCCAGCAATCACGCTCGTTATCAATAATACCAAATTCAAATAATGAACATAAAGACACAAAAAACATATATGTGGTGGGAGAGAGAGAAGAGCAAAATACTTGAGCAAGCTGAGCCTGAGTAAGTTTCTTATCTGTTCGTGCTTGCATTATAGCTTTCTTGAGTTCAGTTGGCACACGATCATCTGGGCACACAAGTCCAATCACTTGGTATAAGCATTAAAGTAGGAAGAGATGACAATCATATATAAAGGACAAGGCTCCTCTAAAGTGAGCTTGTCTTTAAAATAAACAAGGGATCCAAGCTTCATTTACTTTAAAGTGTATTGTAATCTTTCCTACTAAAATTTAGGGTGAATATACCCTTGCTCACAAAACAATCTCACTTTAGAGGAGCTTTTTCCATGTATAAAAGATTTCATGTTCAAAGGATTAAAAAAGATCATTGATTGCAGGGACAGAGAAAATGCATCAAGTACTTTTAGTATCAGAAGACCTAAAACTAGTATTACAGCAGTGCTACTGCTGAACAGAGCTCCTCTTCTATCCACAGAATATGTTATTACATGAATCTGAACAATTCAACCATGTTTAACACTCATAGAGCCAAGAGAAACAATTATAATAATACTAATAAATTAACAGCTAGAATTGCTGACCACCAGAGCAGTTCCATCTCATCAAGCAGAAGTAAACTATAAGCAACAGATTGTACATCTCAGTTTTATAATTGCTGTGGTAAGATGTTATTACCATTTAATTTAGAACTTGAACATCAGGGAATAAGGTAGGAGATCAATTTGCAGAAAAATCTTTGCTTTGGATGGGGCACTACTATCACAAAAGATGGCCCCATGAGTTCTGAAACTATCCTCATGTTCATCAATAATCAAAGATGACATTGAACTACACTAGTACACTGAGTACACTCGCATTCCCATGTCCAAGCTATGTAGGCATTTTTTGCATTGTGCTTAAAAAGAATTAGAGCATAGACTTTATAACTTAAATCTGATTGATGAAATAAAAGAAAAAGTAAATATGTTATATCCACAGTAAACCCAAGTCAATAAAAGAATATGAATTTCCCCAGTAAATACAATTTACAGCTACAACTTCCAAATAATTTTCTTATCATATTCTGAAAGTTAGCACTATTTACAAGTTATTTTGAGAGTAATAAGGAATACCTCCACTTCAACTCACATGCTTCAACCAAGTATATATCCATTCAGGAAAACACTAGAAATATAATCCCAACATATGAATTACGAGCCATTTAGACAATGCATACAACCCATCAAAACATGCTCCAGACAAAAAAATTACCATTGAAAACTACTAAAGCTGGAAAAAAAGCCATTTCAAGGGAGGATCCCTTCAATGGTAAAAAAAGTAAAGAACTGAATTAGTAGAGTGTGTGTGTATACATATATATAGACATGTATGCATACTCACGAGCTAGATTCTCTGTATCATCATCGAGCCTCTTAGTGTTCAATGAAGTGCTACTAGAAGCAGCTTTGTTTGTCCCAGCATTAACTGTACAGAACAAATTAACAATCAACACTCTGACCAGCAAAATAAAAAGATGGAAAAGTGAGAAACATTCAACCAAACTAGTAGAAATTAACTCAATCAAACTATTAGAAATTAACTCTGCTTTAAGTATCCCCAGACTAAAAGATGAACCCATTGTAACACAACAACAAAAATAAACTCAAAAGCAAAAACCGCTCAAAAATTACAAAAATCACTTACAATGTATAATTATTAGCAGTAAAAAAGTCTGTAAATTCCATAACTCATAGTCACAACTCAAATTTAAACACATAATATTGATAACGATAATAACCAACAAGAGAGATGAAAACTCCACATCCCAGATAAATGATCAGTACCATGATTATCAGCGATGAGTCACAAATAATCATCAGGATACATATATATATTATTATTTAACATACAAGACAAACTAATCATAAAAGAGATAACTATAAAAAAGATTATATCTAAACAATAATCAATAACTGAATAAATAGAATTAATCCAAAATTTTAATCAAGAATCGGAACAGAACTCTATATAATTAAACGCTTCGATCCAAATGTAGCGACAAATCGCACACGGAATGAAACAATGCAAATCCAATTAATCCTAGGGTTGGGGATTTAAAAAATTTGAAGCAATCTCGAAAGGAAAGGGGAAAGGGGAGGAGCAAACATTTCTTGACGGTGTCGATGTCGGCGCCGGAGCGGCGAGCGGCGTTGACGGCTTTTTCGTCCTTCTTGGCGGCAGCGGTGGGAGCTTTCTTGCGGAGCACCACCGGTTCCCAATCCTGCGAAATAGGTCCACCTCCTGACATCTTTCGAAGGTTTTCTTTTCTGTGTGTGGGTTAACAACTTCTTGTTGGTGTGGTGTGGTGTGGTTTGGTTGTGGTCTAGCTCTATCCTCTATCTAGGGTTTTTGTTAGAAGATGGAATCTATAAAAGGTGAGGCGGTTATGGATATTTTTCTATATATTTTTGGATTCGCTTTTTTCTTAACGCAGACAAGTTATTTGCACTAACTCAGTAAGTTCAATATGATGTTATTTTGGGATAAAAATTATTATATTTTTGTAATTTTAATTTAATTCAGGGTTATTATAGTTTTTATAATAATTTTTTAATTTTTCAATCTCAAAACGACGTCGTTTTGGAAGTAAATGCAGATAATTTATCTGCATTAACAGCAGAAATATTTTTCTGATATTTTTTTTAAGAGATTTGATATGGTTACTATTATTTAGTTATTATCAATGTCGTTACCAGTTTATTTCACCATCGATTATGTTAATCGAATGGTTATATTTATTTTTACCTTTGTATGATTATGATTCCTCATAATTAATGTTTTCACATTAAATATAGGAGAATGATCCGTTTATAAACTTTTTTGATTAATTTTTACAAATTACACTATCTTCCCCCGGAAGAACATATTGAAATTAGTGTTCTTCTGGGAGAAGATAGTGTAGTTTGTAAACAAAAAAATTTGTAAATATAACATGTCCCTTAAATATAAGAAGGGATAGATTATTCTATCTATCTTTATTTTACCTACATTTGCCTACCTCTTTTAATACCGTTCGATTACAATCTCATCCGACGGTCGATATTTATAATATAAAAAAAAAACTTATTTTTGCCAAATCTTTCTCCTCACTTCCTCTCACATCCTTTCTCTGTCCTCCCCTTTCTCTCTTCCTCTGCGAACATTGTTAAGAAAATTAACAACTCAACATTTGCAAGACTGGCCTTTATTGTTTGGTACTGTCGGTTGGCTGCTTTGGGCAAATAGAAATGACCTTGTGTTCTCTAATAAGAGCCAACCCATGGATGTTGTTATAAGGAGTGCTCAAGAGATATGCTTCAATTTCCTAGACGCCCAAAACAAGCTTTGTCATGCTGGTCTTAAGAAAAAACCAATGGATGTAATTCAGGTCAATTTGATTTTTCTATAACAGGGTGGACCAAATTGAATGTTGATGGCTCTAGCACTTGTGGTGACATAATTACAGGTTGCGGAGAAGTGCTCAGAAATGATTCCGGTAATTGGGAATTGGGATTTTCAAAAAAATTGGGCCATGGAAACTCTATTAAGGCAGAACTTTGGGGTATTTTAGTTGGCTTGGAGTTATCCTGGGTGTAACGCCCGGCAACTTGCAAGGATTAACGACTGTCCCCACACACTAACACGAGACTTTTCAGCGTGTTTTGTCCTCACTCGCACACTTCCCAGGAAAACTTCCCAGAAGGTCACCCATCCCAGAATTGCCCCAAGTCAAGCACGCTTAACTATGGAGTTCTTCTGTTCCGGGCTACCGAAAAGTGGATGCATCTTGTTAGTATAGGTAGTACCAATTAATTCTTATAAGCCATTCCCAACTATACCGTCCCATACCAGCACAGTCTCTGGAATCCCTTTCTTTCGGGTGTGGATTCGATTCATTCATGTACCCCCGTCCCTAGAAGCCTGCCAGGAGCCACTCCTTGTCCATGCCCTTTCGCACCGGCGATCACTCCCCGCCCTCGTCAGCGCCCGGGATGTTACACTGGGAGTTGGGAAAGAGAAAAATTCATCTTGAAAGTGACTCCTTGATGGCACTAGAGCTTATCCAGAAAGGCTGTCAAAAGACCCATCCTTTGTCTAATCTTGTAAGTGGAATACATGGGATGCTATCTAAGAATTGGGGGATCAAGATCACTCACTCCTACAGGGAAGGAAATGCTGTTGCAAACTGGTTGGCTTCTTAAGCATACAAACATGGCTGGGAGACTGTTATTTTCAATGAAGTTCCTAGGGAATGCTCTATTAGATTTCAGAGTGACTATAGGGGCACATGTTGGCCCAGAATAGTAGCTGTTAGCTAGTTTCTTTTGTTGATGTTTTTAATTTCCTTTGTTATCCAAAATAAAAATAAAAATGAGAGAGCACATTATTCAATAAATTGATTTTGTCTTTTTCTTAATATAACAACTATTCATTTGTCATGTAACATAACAAATGTATTTTCCATAATTTAAATGTTCATAAAAAGTTGATTTATAATACACATTTTCAGAATTATTCCCTAACCTAATTTCTAATATCTCTAATTATTTTCATGATTATCTATCAATTTTTGTAATTTATTGGTTATTCAACTAATCTGATTCGAATAATTATATAAACGGCAAAATTCTTCTTACCAAATTTTAACACAGTTATCACAATATTGCTCCATTATCTATTTTCATGCTAGACTAGCATTATGGGGAGGAATTTAAAAAAAGCTAATTGTGGCCATTTGCCCACGACCATATACGTGTAATGAGTCTAAGCCTATCCTTCAATCATAAAGCACTATTGACTGAGTACCTACCTGGAGACAGGATGGATCCGGTGAACCGGTGGTGAACCGCGGTTCAACCGGTATCGGTTATAGAAAAATATTTTTAAAGTTGTAGCTGCTGAGATTCAAACTCAAGTCTTATAAGGATGACAAACAACAACTTACCACTAGGCTACATTTATTTGTTGGTTAATATGCACCTTTTAATATATTTATCATATCATTTAATAGAATTGTTTAAAAATTGTATCTAATGGGGATCGAACCCTTATTGTGAAGATATAAATCACAGTATTTATCACTAGGCTATAACTGGTTCTTAGTTCACTTGCTCCATTTAAAATATTTATTATATAATTAAGTATAAAATATAAATTTATATACATATCTGATTCATGCGATTGAACCAATGATCCACTGACTCAGTACTCCGACCGAGTCGATGACCGATCCGAATTTAATAACATTATGTCATTCATGACAAATATTAGTGAAAAGCTGTATTTATCGAATGTCAATGGCAGATAACGATACATAATTTTCATTTTATAATCAATGATAAAAATAAACTTAATGGTAAAAATATGTGTCTTTTTAAAAGATACAACTTAAGTCATTTTAAAAAAAAATATATATAAAAAATGGAATTCATATCTTTTTATGTTTATCTCTCTTAAAAAAATATAAATTTATATACTTTAAAAGCACACCTACTTCTTCCAAACTTTTCCAAATTAATTGTAGTAAATTGTACCTACCCCGTTTATGTTAGACAAGGAGAAGATTTGCCAAATGAAAACACTTTTTTTTTTTTTTTATAGAAGATGCTAGCTCATTAAAAACAAATTAGTTGTGAATAGTGAAATTAGTTTTTAAAGGTAATACAAACTGAAAAAAATGCTCTGCTAGGGTTTTCCTTTTCATGGAGGAAAATATAGCTACTGAAGGCCAAACTTCAAAAGAAGAAGAAGATCTACTACGTAGGAGTAATAAGAGAAATAAAGATGGAGATATGGTGTTTACTGAATCACAGTCTAGGGTTCCTAGACATGAATCTTGGATGGTTGACGACGGTAATAAAAAGATGACTTGGCGAGAGATGCTCATGCAACACAATGGTGAAACAGATGACTGGGAAGGAATGGATTGGAATTTGGAAGAAAATGTTGATCAAAGTGCACCTGCGGAGGAAGAGGATGTGAATGGTGGGATTAAAATGTGGACAGAGGAAGATGGTAGAACTCTCATTTTGGTTGTACTAGAAAAGCAAGAACAAGAATGCTGAAGGTTTGGGAAAAAGCTCTCATTGTAAAACTACTTGGAAGGAATACAGGAGTGGCTTTCATGAAAAAGAAGATTGAAATACTATGGGCTAGAGCTGGAAAGATTAACGTTACAGATGTAGGTAATGGATTCTATGTGGTGCAATTTAGCAACAAAGATGATCTTCTTTTTGCTCTAAATGGTGGTCCTTGGATTATTTTAGGCCATTATTTATCACTCCGACGTTGGGAGCCAGCTTTTAGACCAAATGCTGCAAGTGTGATGAAGATTGCAGCTTGGGTGCGATTACCGGGTATCCCACTGGAGTATTATGATGAAGCCTTTTTCCGCCGTATTGGTAACTGGCTAGGTAAAATGTTGAAGATCGATAAGACAACTAATGAGCATGTAAGATGACAGTTTGCTCGAATTTGCGTGGAACTGGATCTTGCTCAGCCTTTGAAGGGTGAATATGTGTTGGACGGAGCAACTAAACAGATAGAATATGAAGGTTTAGGCCTTATTTGTTTTCATTGTGGGCGCTATGGACATAGTAAAGATTGTTGTCCTGAGATACCAGTTGAAGGAAAGGATAATCAGCAAAATCAAGACGGGAAAAAAGATGAGGCTGAGTTTCAGAAAAATGGATTAGGTCCTTGGATGGTGGTGCAACGTCAACGTCGATCAAAAATTCAAACTCCAATGGCGGACAACAGGAAGCAGGAACCGGTTCGAAGGGAATCAAGGCGTAATCAAGGGCAAGGGAGTAATCAAGGGAGTAATCAAGGGAATAATCAATGAAGTAATCAAGGGAGTAATCAACCGCAATCAAATCAGCCGGTTATGATTGATAATCAATCAAATTCCCGTTACGCTGCTTTAATGGGCTCTAATGAAGATGATATTACTCATGATATCCCAGCGACTAATCCGGATGCTGTTATAAATGACGTCAATATGGTGGGCCCTCTTGTTAATATTGATATTAGTACATCTCAAGGGTCCAAACACAGAAACCCTAGAAGCCGTCCTAATGTTGAATTACAGGAACACCCCAACCGATTTACGTTAAGTGGGATTACGACAGGTCATGAAAAAGAAAATCAAATAAATGGGAAGATAGTTGACAGAGGTACCTCAAACAATAATACAACGAACTTGAGGAGGCAAGTTGCGATTCATAATAGTAAGGACATTGGAGGTAAAAGCGGTGGAGATTCCATGGTGGCTAGGAGTACTGTTGCTGATTATAACAAAGATTGTTATCAAATGGAGGTGGATAAGGATGGTCAAAATATCAACGGCTTAGATCATGGCTTGTCCCAACCAAAAGCGCCTGATCCAAGTGG